CAATTCCAGATTATGAATGTATGACATTAAACACCATTACCTTATTTTTCGAAACAATACCACTGCTTAACGTATGAAAGACATTTTTGCAATAACTCAACGTCTTTTGTGTGATTGGTTAAAATGTTTCAGATGACCAATCAGAATAGAATGTGTTCTGTGTCCGCTGGAAACAAATTCGACAATCTCGATTTCTTCTTCCTTATAAGGTTATGAGGGACACTCGTTTCATGGGTTGGTGAAAGAAGTTTTTTTTTTTTTTACCTTTAGGTCTTAAGTGAATAAAACCCTGATTTTTTGTAGACAGATATAAAGTTTAACATACAAGAAGATAATTATTAAGTTAAAAATTTTTTATCTATAAAATCTTGTTTTCATTGTGCATTTGTTTTCCACACAGCATCATTAGGGTGGATATCAGTGACACACCCTTGGCTTATTGTTGGTATTGTTAAAATTCCGATTTTGATAACCATTATTTGGTGATAAGCCACAAGGGAGGTTGCCTTTATGTGACAACTCAATAACTCCAGAAAACACGGAGATGAAATAAGACTGAAACGGAACGTCGACAAGGTGTCATCTTGGACTCTAATAGCTTTAGAGTGACAAGCGACAGCGCTAACGTTACACCGCATAACATCCTTACTTGAGTAGTTTACAGTTTAACCTCACCAACCGTCGGATGTCCTGTTTTCATCAGCTGAAACGCTGAGTCATTGTACACCAATTCATTTACTTTCTAATAGGAGGTGTTCAGTGTTTTGGGTGAGTCGATTTATTCATTCCTTGTGTAATTAACCTCACAGAAACATTACACTTTTTAAATTACTGTAATGTTATGAGCACTGGACTACGTCACGTCACATGACGGGGCAAAACGCATTATTTACATGAGCAAGGCGGCAATGTGACAGGCGAATCGAGGTGTGTCTGAACCTGTCCGTGTAGACCGACAGAGCAAAAGCCTGCGTCAGCCTGCGAAATCCTCAGCATAATCTCGCTCGTCGTTTTCCAACAGGTAGAGCAGCTGCTTAGCAAGAATAAAAATGTTATGCTATCAAAATGTGAAACTTCAACAGCGACTAGCTGTAGCTGGTACCGCCGTAGCTGTAGTTCGTAGCGTACTAAAATGGTTAGCTGACAAGCTAACATGCTGCTGTAATTGTAACGTAAGCTATCGTGACTAACAACGTAATTTAATAACTGGTTTGTTAAGTAGTTAGATAGTATACATTAGCTATTATATACAGCTTTCTCTGAATAATTACAAACATTAACGTCAAGGTGGTTACCGAACACTGAAAGTAGCTGGCTAGCTATTAACGTTGTCAGACTAGTTAGCTAGATGACCGTTAGATGGTTTCCTGGAGAATTGTTCTCCTTATTTTATTGAACAAAAAAATCTCAGCTAGCTGGCTGTGAAGCTAGTTTGCTATCTGGCTGAGTTTAGCTGGATAGCTTGTTAGGTAGTTCGTTTTCTAGCTACAGTATTATGGCGGGTTTATATGCCTCCGAGAATTCTGATTTGTAGCGCAGAGCTTGAGACTGCAGGACATCAATAGTTTACTGCCTGCTAGCTAGCTATTAGCCGTATCGTTTTGATAACACGTCAACTGATTGGTTTACATCAATTGAAAGTTCAGTGGCTTTACCTTTTATTTCTACAGCAGGTTGTCTTAAGCAGGTGGCTGGGGAACAGACCGAGTGTGCACGGACCAGACATGTGTGGGAGGACTGCATGCACCCTTGCGCCGGCTGAGATCAGCCGTGCCTCCAGGTACCGGGACCGTACCGGACGGAGCCGCAGGCCACAGTGGAGGGACGGAGATGCGGACAAGTACAGGCCCTCCTACAACAAGAGTCCTCAGTCTCTAAGCCCCGTACTGCTGTCCCGCAAGCACTTCGACAAGGTGATTTCAGCGGGAGATATTTCCTGTGAAAATTTGAAACTTATTCAGTTATGGGATGGAATGTGAGAGGGCAGCAGCAAGAAGCACTCTCGAGACCGAGACAGTTAAGCCCCTTAGTGAACTTGTGACTCATTTAGTAACAGCGAGTTATTCAAGCGTTACATGTAAGCTAACGGTTGGTTTCATATGGTGCAGACAGTTTGGGAGATGTTACAGTGACATACCATATGGAGACAGCTGGGTTCCCTCTCTTGGCAGAATGCACCAGCTGACGAATGTGTCCTTGCGGTGATGCGGTGGGGCCTGGTTCCTGCTTGGTTCCGAGAGAATGACCCGAACAAAATGCAGTACAAAACCAGCAACTGCCGCAGCGAGAGCATGCTTGAGAAAAAGTCCTTCAAGGTGGCACTATAGATGGCTTATATCAAATGCAATGTGTGACAAACCTGTATGTTTATATGTGCATATGTGTGTGTGTGTGTGTGTGTGTACGCGCGCATGTGTGTGCATGCGTGTGCATGCGTGCAGGGGTGTGCGTGTCAGTGTGTGAATGGTCCCTCCCATCACACTCAGGGATGTAGGGATGTGTGCACGTGTTCATGCCCTGTTTGAGGGTGATATGTACATGTGCACATATACAAAAGTATTACGTCCAGAATTAAGGTGTAATACCCAGGCGGAGAAATGCCATTGTACCATTGAGCAAGGTGCTGACTCAGCTGCTTTGGGACATATCCTGCTGTATAAATATATAAATTGTCAAATGTGAGCTATGTAATTTTGTGTATGTATGTATGTGTGTATGTATGTCTGTATGCCTGCTAAACAAATGGATAATTGTGTGTGCATGTGCTTTCCTCAGGACCCCCTTCTGAAAGGCCAGCGCTGTGTCATCCTGGCTGATGGCTTCTATGAGTGGAAAAGGCAGGAGAAAGGCAAGCAGCCCTTTTTCATCTATTTCCCCCAGGGGCAGGGGAAGGGCCCCCTGGGGGCCACGGAGGGGCATTCAGTAGAAAAACAGGTGACTTGAATGAAGCTAAATAAATGATACATTTGAGAGAAAAAACATACTGGTAGCCCTCCTACTTTCTGTCTTCACATTCTCAAAGCCATGCTCCTTATTGTGTCACCTGAAGCAGGAGGAAAAGGACAGTGAATGGACAGGGTGGAGACTATTGACCATAGCAGGTCTGTTTGACCACTGGACACCCCCTTGTGGTGGAGAGTCACTCTATACCTACACTGTTATCACTGTGAATGCATCTTCCAACCTGCAGGAAATCCATGACCGGTAAGGGAAAAGTAGCAGACAAACTGATTTCGCATTGTCTCATGGGATTGAAAGGTCAGCTTACTGTTTCCCCTCAAAAATCATGTTAGCTTAATAAAAACACATGTATTTTGAGGTAGAATAGTAAGACTAAATCAGAAATTGCTATATTTTCTGAGTGACTTTTTAAATTAGAAGACAGTTAGCAGTTTGTTCCTTTTGGCTTTTTCCATTTAAATGTTGTTGCCTTTTATTCTGACCATATAGCATCACGCCTTTTGGCTTTCTTGGCTCATAGAGATTGACACATTGGTTTGTGGTTTTAAAATCAGTCTGGCAAACCTGGTAAATACAGCAGACAGACTAGCACACATTGACTTGCAGTGCACATCCAGTGACTGAGTCTGTGCCATAACAGGATGTGTTGTGTTTGAAGTTATGGTGTGTGTGGATGTATGTACTGTATCTGTCAGCATATTTGTGTCTAGTGTAATATTGATTTTTTGCATTATTAACTTGTATCTTGGGTGTTGCAGGATGCCCGCAGTGCTTGACGGGGAAGAGGAGGTGAGGCGCTGGTTGGACTTTGGGGAGGTCCGGTCACTGGACGCTCTGAAATTACTGCAGTCAAAGGAAATGCTGACCTTTCACCCCGTCTCCTCATTGGTCAACAACTCACGCAACAACTCCCCTGAGTGCCTTCAGCCCCTGGAGCCTTGCAGCAAGAAGGTGCAGAACCAACGTGGAACAGTCTCCACACCACAACACAAGCTTCACAATACCCAACCACACAGTCTTCACAACACTGCATTCTGACAACTTCTGAGGGAAAAAGAAAAACATGCACATATGCAAGGACATACACATATGCACACACTCACACACATACACACACATGCACCACAATGGCCACCTACCTCTTACACCCTGTACACAGTGAACAATACAGGTGGCTCCATAACGAAATGCCATACAAAGGCTGTAGCACAGAAAACAGACAAATAAATCAGTGGCACATGTACTTTGTGTAAGAGTGGAAAGGTCTATATAAATGTGTGGTGTAATGTCTTCTGCCTCAAACCTTGCTTCATCCCCCAGGAGCCCTGTCCATCACCTAGCAGTAAGATGATGAGGAACTGGCTGCAGAGTGGTTCACCTGTCAAGAGGAAGGAGCCAGAGCAGGACACCCAAGATGAAGGGCAAGGTGGAGCAGGGAAAGACAAGCAAGGCAAGAAGGCAGGAGTTCTACAGAACTGGCTCTTCAAAACAAAGACAAACAAGAAAGCCAGGATTGCATAAACAGGAGGAATTTAATCACAATTATAAATGTTCATGTGTTTTTATACATTTTTTAGATGGCAGTGACTGTTTTCTGAATCCAATAAAGTATACTTAAGGCATTCTGTCCAGAAAATACTGTCTGATTAAGGAACATTATTTCCTCCAGAAACATTAGTTTCTTAGTTTTGAGTTTATTATTGTGATCCTAAGTAAAAGACAATAATTTCGAGGAATGTTCTCACTTGCTCAACATACGTTAATGGAAATACAGTCCTATTCGTTTGAAGATGCACTACATCCATCTGTTCGTGTGATTATGAACGTGAGATGACAAGTGTGGAGGGAATATTTATCAAAAGTGATTTAATCAAAACTCCACAGATGGGGCTATTGCTCAGCCATAGATCATCTGAGTGCAAGGTTGTCCTTCTGGAGCCACTTTCAGAAACATTCCTTTCTGACAAAAGACAATCAATAAACCATGAGGAACCTCAGGTAATGCCAGGAAACTCTTTTCTAAAGAGCCCTCTGGGAACGGGGGTATAGCTCAGTGTTAGAGCATTTGACTACAGATCAAGAGGTCCCAGATTCAGCTTCTGGTGCCCCCTTCAAATGTATTAGGCATGTCAGTTTAGGATCAAATGAAATATTGCTGAAGTGATTTAATTAAGCTTTCTCAGGTATTAAACCTCTTTTACAATCTACATGTACCTTAAATAATTCCAGGAGATTGCCATCAGTGACAAACAGACTGGAAAGGTGGGTACAGCTCAGTGGTAGTGCATAGTTTCCAGTTTGATCATCTGGTGTTCTTTCCAGAAACACTAACTTTATGCAACAGACATGATCAATAAACCACTTGGAACCTTATACAATTTCAGGAAACCATTGTCTACCAGCTTTGGTGGGAATGGGGGTATAGCTCAGTGGTAGAGCATTTGACTGCAGATCAAGAGGTCCCAGGTTCAACTCCTGATGCTCCCTTTTGAAATGTTCCTCTATCACTTGTGAAAGCTTTCAACAAATCATAAAGTACCTTAAATAATTCCAGGAGATTGCCATCAGTTTCCAGTTTGATAATCTGGTGTTCTTTCCAGAAACACTAACTTTATGCAACAGACATGATCAATAAACCACATGGAACCTAATACAATTTCAGCAAACCATTGTCTACCAGCTTTGGTGGGAATGGGGGTATAGCTCAGTGGTAGAGCATTTGACTGCAGATCAAGAGGTCCCAGGTTCAACTCCTGGTGCCCCCTTTTAAAATGCTCCTCTATCACTTGTGAATGCCTTCAATAAATCATGAAGTACCTTAAATAATTTCAGGAGATTGCCATCAGTAACAAACAGACTGGAAAGGGGCATACAGGTCACTGGTAGTGCATAGTTTCCAGTTTGATTGTCTGGTGCTTTTCCCAGAAGCACTAACATTTTGCAACGGACATGATCAATAAACCACACGGAACCTTATACAATTTCAGGAAACCATTGTCTACCAGCTTTGGTGGGAATGGGGGTATAGCTCAGTGGTAGAGCATTTGACTGCAGATCAAGAGGTCCCAGATTCAGCTTCTGGTGCCCCCTTCAAATGTATTAGGCATGTCAGTTTAGGATCAAATGAAATATTGCTGAAGTGATTTAATTAAGCTTTCTCAGGTATTAAACCTCTTTTACAATCTACATGTACCTTAAATAATTCCAGGAGATTGCCATCAGTGACAAACAGACTGGAAAGGTGGGTACAGCTCAGTGGTAGTGCATAGTTTCCAGTTTGATCATCTGGTGTTCTTTCCAGAAACACTAACTTTATGCAACAGACATGATCAATAAACCACTTGGAACCTAATACAATTTCAGGAAACCATTGTCTACCAGCTTTGGTGGGAATGGGGGTATAGCTCAGTGGTAGAGCATTTGACTGCAGATCAAGAGGTCCCAGGTTCAACTCCTGATGCTCCCTTTTGAAATGTTCCTCTATCACTTGTGAAAGCTTTCAACAAATCATAAAGTACCTTAAATAATTCCAGGAGATTGCCATCAGTAACAAACAGACTGGAAAGGGGAGTACAGCTCAGTGGTAGTGCATAGTTTCCAGTTTGATAATCTGGTGTTCTTTCCAGAAACACTAACTTTATGCAACAGACATGATCAATAAACCACATGGAACCTAATACAATTTCAGCAAACCATTGTCTACCAGCTTTGGTGGGAATGGGGGTATAGCTCAGTGGTAGAGCATTTGACTGCAGATCAAGAGGTCCCAGGTTCAACTCCTGGTGCTCCCTTTTAAAATGCTCCTCTATCACTTGTGAATGCCTTCAATAAATCATGAAGTACCTTAAATAATTTCAGGAGATTGCCATCAGTAACAAACAGACTGGAAAGGGGCATACAGGTCACTGGTAGTGCATAGTTTCCAGTTTGATTGTCTGGTGCTTTTCCCAGAAGCACTAACATTTTGCAACGGACATGATCAATAAACCACACGGAACCTAATACAATTTCAGGAAACCATTGTCTACCAGCTTTGGTGGGAATGGGGGTATAGCTCATTGGTAGAGCATTTGACTGCAGATCAAGAGGTCCCAGATTCAGCTTCTGGTGCCCCCTTCAAATGTATTAGGCATGTCAGTTTAGAATCAAATGAAATATTGATGAAGTGATTTAATTAAGCTTTCTCAGGTATTAAACCTCTTTTACAATCTACATGTACCTTAAATAATTCCAGGAGATTGCCATCAGTAACAAACAGACTGGAAAGGTGGGTACAGCTCAGTGGTAGTGCATAGTTTCCAGTCTGATCATCTGGTGTTCTTTCCAGTAACACTAATTTTATGCAACATACATGATCAATAAACCACATGGAACCTTGTATAATTTCAGGAAACCATTGTCTACCAGCTTTGGAGGGAATGGGGGTATAGCTCAGTGGTAGAGCATTTGACTGCAGATCAAGAGGTCCCAGGTTCAACTCCTGGTGCTCCCTTTTGAAATGTTCCTCTATCACTTGTGAAAGCTTTCAACAAATCATGAAGTACCTTAAATAATTCCAGGAGATTGCCATCCCTAACAAACAGACTGGAAAGGTGGGTACAGCTCAGTGGTAGTGCATAGTTTCCAGTTTGATCATCTGGTGTTCTTTCCAGTAACACTAATTTTATGCAACAGACATGATCAATAAACCACATGGAACCTGATACAATTTCAGGAAACCATTGTCTACCAGCTTTGGTGGGAATGGGGGTATAGTTCAGTGGTAGAGCATTTGACTGCAGATCAAGAGGTCCCAGGTTCAACTCCTGGTGCTCCCTTTTGAAATGTTCCTCTATCACTTGTGAAAGCTTTCAACAAATCATGAAGTACCTTAAAAAATTCCAGGAGATTGCCATCCCTAACAAACAGACTGGAAAGGTGGGTACAGCTCAGTGGTAGTGCATAGTTTCCAGTTTGATCATCTGGTGTTCTTTCCAGAAACACTAACTTTATGCAACAGACATGATCAATAAACCACATGGAACCTAATACAATTTCAGGAAACCATTGTCTACCAGCTTTGGTGGGAATGGGGGTATAGCTCAGTGGTAGAGCATTTGACTGCAGATCAAGAGGTCCCAGGTTCAACTCCTGGTGCTCCCATTTGAAATGCTCCTCTATCACTTGTGAATGCTTTCAATAAATCATGAAGTAGCTTAAGTAATTTCAGGAGATTGCCATCAGTAACAAACAGACTGGAAAGGGGCATGCAGGTCACTGGTAGTGCATAGTTTCCAGTTTGATTGTCTGGTGCTTTTCCCAGAAGCACTAACATTTTGCAACGGACATGATCAATAAACCACACGGAACCTGATACAATTTCAGGAAACCATTGTCTATCAGCTTCTGTGGGAATGGGGGTATAGCTCAGTGATAGAGTATTTGACTGCAGATCAAGAGGTCCCAGATTCAGCTTCTGGTGCCCCCAACAAATGTATTAGGCATGTCAGTTTAGAATCAAATGAAATATTGCTGAAGTGATTTAATTAAGCTTTCTCAGGTATTAAACCTCTTTTACAATCTACATGTACCTTAAATAATTCCAGGAGATTGCCATCAGTAACAAACAGACTGGAAAGGTGGGTACAGCTCAGTGGTAGTGCATAGTTTCCAGTTTGATCATCTGGTGTTCTTTCCAGTAACACTAATTTTATGCAACAGACATGATCAATAAACCACATGGAACCTTATACAATTTCAGGAAACCATTGTCTACCAGTTTTAGCGGGAATGGGGGTATAGCTCAGTGGTAGAGCATTTGACTGCAGATCAAGAGGTCCCAGGTTCAACTCCTGGTGCTCCCTTTTGAAATGTTCCTCTATCACTTGTGAATGCTTTCAATAAATCACAAGTTACCTGAAAAAATTCCAGGAGATTGCCATCCCTAACAAACAGACTGGAAAGGGGAGTACAGCTCACTGGTAGTGCATAGTTTCCAGTCTGATTGTCTGGTGCTCTTTCCAGAAGCACTAACATTTTGCAACAGACATGATCAATAAACCACATGGAACCTGATACAATTTCAGGAAACCATTTTCTATCAGCTTCTGTGGGAATGGGAGTATAGCTCAGTGATAGAGCATTTGACTGCAGATCAAGAGGTCCCAGATTCAGCTTCTGGTGCCCCCTTCAAATGTATTAGGCATGTCAGTTTAGAATCAAATGAAATATTGCTGAAGTGATTTAATTAAGCTTTCTCAGGTATTAAACCTCTTTTACAATCTACATGTACCTTAAATAATTCCAGGAGATTGCCATCAGTAACAAACAGACTGGAAAGGTGGGTACAGCTCAGTGGTAGTGCATAGTTTCCAGTTTGATCATCTGGTGTTCTTTCCAGAAACACTAACTTTATGCAACAGACATGATCAATAAACCACATGGAACCTAATACAATTTCAGGAAACCATTGTCTACCAGCTTTGGTGGGAATGGGGGTATAGTTCAGTGGTAGAGCATTTGACTGCAGATCAAGAGGTCCCAGGTTCAACTCCTGGTGCTCCCTTTTGAAATGTTCCTCTATCACTTGTGAAAGCTTTCAACAAATCATGAAGTACCTTAAAAAATTCCAGGAGATTGCCATCCCTAACAAACAGACTGGAAAGGTGGGTACAGCTCAGTGGTAGTGCATAGTTTCCAGTTTGATCATCTGGTGTTCTTTCCAGAAACACTAACTTTATGCAACAGACATGATCAATAAACCACATGGAACCTAATACAATTTCAGCAAACCATTGTCTACCAGCTTTGGTGGGAATGGGGGTATAGCTCAGTGGTAGAGCATTTGATTGCAGATCAAGAGGGCCCAGGTTCAACTCCTGGTGCTCCCTTTTGAAATGTTCCTCTATCACTTGTGAAAGCTTTCAACAAATCATGAAGTACCTTAAATAATTTCAGGAGATTGCCATCAGTAACAAACAGACTGGAAAGGGGGGTACAGCTCAGTGGTAGTGCATAGTTTCCAGTTTGATAATCTGGTGTTCTTTCCAGAAACACTAACTTTATGCAACAGACATGATCAATAAACCACATGGAACCTAATACAATTTCAGGAAACCATTGTCTACCAGCT